CTGCGCATCGTATTCATCTTCGGTTTTGGGAACGGTGGTTTCCCCAACTTTCTTCATGGGTACTTCTTCCCCATTCTTGATAATTCTCCATAGGAGAAAGTTGTTGGATTGGATGAAAATTCTCATTCGCTCCTTCCAATATGTGTAATTTGTTCCATCAAATAATGGAGGCCTCGTGGTGGATTGCCCTTCTCCTAAACCTGCGTATAAGTTTTGAGTAGAAGCCATTGATCGTTTCTCTCAAACGGTTAAGTCTTTCAGAGAGTAAGGCTCTGATACCAATTGTTAGAATAAAGGCCCAACGCTAGAGGGGGGGTGAATAGCGTTTAAAACAAAATCGCAGGAAGTTAAAAACGAGAGCGTTAAAGTAAAGAGCGTAAGGAAGGAGCACACCGGATTTTATCCTGGTTCACCACAACGTGTGGCTAATCCAGCCCCCCGAGAGACTCTCTCGAGCTACACTAACTCCGTTAAGCTTAAGGGTGCTTAACAAACCGATACAACTTGAGAACCCGAGTCACACGAGCCTCAACACCTTTGCTCGGAGATACCGCACTCCAAGACTTCTCACGAAGGAACAAGTAATTTTCTTCGAGTTTACAACAAGGGAACAACCTCCTGTTAAGTCACAAAATGTCATATTTTATTCCCTCATTTCTTAATACTTTTAAAATATTTAATATGCATTTTATACTTAAATAATCACATTTTGTTCTATTTAGCATTTTAGGCTATTGTTTACATTTTATACACAAAATGCATAATTTTGAGCATATTTATATTATACAGATATTTTGGAAGTATTATTTATTACCTTGATACAAATTTTTAGATATGGAGTACAAAAGGATGAAGAAATATCAAAGGTAGATGCATATTTAAAAAGAGTTATTGGGCCAAGTCAATTAAGCAAAGGAAAACAAAAGGGAAAAAAGAAAAGAAAATCAAGCTGAGTTAATTCCAAGCGCACGAAACTGAAAAACACTGAGAGCAGCGAAAGAAGTGCATCGCACAAGAGAGTCTTCTTCTCCAATCCAAACACTGCAATTTTCAAATATAAAAGGTAAACCAAAGCCACAAGGAAGGAGGAGATACCGGGCGGATACGGAGACAAAAACAGAGAGCAGAGCAGAGCCCGACCTAGGGTTCCGACCCTAGGTCGGCGATGACAATTCCGGCAGTCCGACGGCAACCATTCCGGCAGCAGCCATGGATTCCGACGACGGCGATGACTGGCGGCTCAAGGTCGGCATCTTGTCCCGGCTTTTGTGCATCGTGCAAGGAAGACATTTCCAGGGAGCATTTCTTCTACTTTTCAATTTTATTTTCTATGAATTAGGATTTTGAATTTGTTTAATTTCCAATTGATGAATTTGATATCCATTATTTAAATATGATTATTTTCAAAGCTTGTTTTTGTGTTGAATGTTTAAGTTATATTATAAGTGTTGAATTGTTTGTTGTTGCATTGTTCAAATATGATTTATTGATTTATTATTGTCTCTACAATTATAAAACTTTCTTAGGCCAAATTATTTGATAAAAAAGATTGAATCTTTGTTTGTTGAATCAATTTGACTTTGAAGGAATTTTAGCTCTAAGCTACTGTTAAATCTAAACTCAAAATGGTGTTCTGAGAACTATTATTCACTAGATTTTACTTAAATTGGACCAAATTAGGATCGCGACCTAATCCAGTTTAAAATGATATTCGTTTAATGTCCAAAGTGCTTTTATTAGCCGAACTTTTCTAGAAACCAAGTGTCACTTGATTAGTACTTGCTGCCTCGTTAAGTGGTTTTTGCTAATCAAGGTTCTCGAACTGATTTTGTTAAATAACCGTAGTGTTACTGCAAAGTTCTTATGGTGATGTTTTCCACAAATCTTAATGCGCTATTCTTAGTAGTAACTTAAGGGTTGGTCTTTGGGTTGCTAAGGGTAGTAGGGTTTAGAGTTAGGGTTGGTCTTAACATAAGCTAATAGGAATGGGAGAATAGGGAAGAACCGTTGGTGGACCTCTTCTTCAGCCTAACCCTGAGTTTAATTAGCAGTTTAATTTCAGAATTAAGGCATAATTAATTAGTTAATCATATTTGTTCAGTTTATTTTCTATTAAAAACTATAAGTATTTTCAAAATGGTTTAAGTTAATTATTATTGTCTACGTTTTATAAAGTTTATTGTGTGATTGTTTGTGTGTTTGTTTCTCCCTGAGTGTTTTTCTGAGTTCGAGTTGCTGATGTAGTTCCATCTCTTATCTGTTATCTTAATCTTCATTTAATTTGCATTTTTATCATTTAATTTTATCTTTCAAACCCCCCCATATCCTTTAGTTTTAGTTTTTAGATTTTAGTCAGTTTTTATTCAATAAAAGTGACAAGTGAACTGATTTTCATAGTCTAAAAGTATCTTTCCTCGTGGGATCGACCCTTACTTGCCCTATCTATATGTTTTAATTAATATTAATTCATAAAGGGGGATTTAAGTTAAGGAAAATAATAAATTAATTTGTAGGTGCTACGACACACCTAACACCTCCCTTAAAGTGTATGAAAACACTTAAACACTCAGGAATAAAACTCTCACAAAGAGTAGATATGAGTGAACTAGTAAACGCTCAAGAACACGACAATTTCTTCAAGAATTGGCTCTCAAATAGCTAAGAAAAATAGGAATGCTTATGCAATGAAAGAGTATTGAAATGTTGAAGAATTGTGTGTTAAAAGAGAGGATTTGGGTGCCATTTTATAGCCCAAAATGGGATAAA